TAGGCAACTCCTTGTTTGTGCTGCGTATATATACCACAACACCTCCCATTAAATAATTATGTTGCTTTTCTATCAATTGACCTACTTAAATTGGGAATGGGACCACGATATTTCTACTTTTGCGCCCTCTGGTGCCACGGAGCCCCCTACTTTCCTTTTTTGGGATAGATTTTAAGCAGTTTAACAACATCCGGAATCACAATAATAGGATTTTAGATTTCGTTATTTCACATAATATGTTTGCTAATGTGAACAGGAGCCATAGTCCATTGGTATAGGAATACATTCATAACTATCAATTTTAAAGTGCATAAGATACTTCCTTGAAACAGTTATGTTCTGTAGCTAATTATGTCTTAATAAACGAAAAATAGCTAACTTGCCATGGACCGACATTCTAAATTCTGATTTAGTTGAGCAGGACGCGTTTGTCTTTTACAATTACATATCGGACATTATCCTGTCCTACTAAAATAATAAAAACGACTGAGTTTCCTATTTAGTTCACTTATCGCACAAAAAAGTTGCTGCATTGCAAAGAGAAAGTTAGGAAAACGTGGAAAAAATCTAGAAACGTCATTGACTATAACCTATTACGAAAACATTTTAAAACTAGTAAAGAAAACGGTTATAAGGATTATTTACAAAAAACTGAAAATAACAAAAAAAAGATACAAAAATATTTTGGTCTTATTTAAATAACAGAAAGAATACAAAATCGTTACCCTCTAAAATAAGCCACAATGGTGTAACTGCGTCAGATTCGCAAGATATATCACAAATTTTTTCTACTTTAGTAGCGTGTTTGAGCCAAATAATACTCAGTCCTATATTCCTATTTTTCCGAGGAATCTGTCCATAAGATTTTGATCCAAAAAAGGACCAGGGCGTGATGGCATACCTTCGCACTTTCTAAAATATTCTCCAACTTTGGCACTGCCTCTCAATATTTAGCACAGGATAAATTTCCAAAACGATGGAAAATTGCACAAATTGTACCAATCCTAAAGTCTGGTGATGCCACAGAAGTAACTACTAATAGGCCTATCTCGCGCCTATGTCATTTTGCGAAAGTCTGTGGAGCCGTTATTTGTACCCAATTATTTTTCATATTAAAGAATGACAAAGACGTGAATCAATATGGATTTCACAAGAAATGTTCCGTACTTACAAACCTCATTACTTTTATTCATAATATTAACCTTTCTATGCAGAATGGCTTTGAGACCTGTGCCGTCTCCACTGACTTTTCTAAGGCTTTTGACAAAAACTCAGTTTGTGGTTGTGAACGGCGAAAAGTCGCTTTTTGCGAATGTAACATCTGAGTCCCTCAGAGATCACACTTGGGGTCCTTACTTTTCAATATTTTTACATTTGCAGATAACATTTTAGAACTCAAGAATCATCTCGCTAAAACTTAAAAACTTAAAACAGTTACTCAAGTTAAAGATTTAAGCATCATACTGGACTCTGAGTTAACATTTGAAGCACATGTAGAAGTTATTGTAAAGAAGGGCTTGAGAAATCTTGGTTTTGTATTACGTGACGCCAAAGGCTTTCGCAACCACAAATCAGTCATTATAATTTATAATAGCGTCATCAAATCCATGTTGGAATACTTATCCACCGTATGGAATCCGATCTATAGCAAGTATGTCGATCGGATAGAGAGTGTTTTTAGAAACACTAGTGTTCGTATGAAAATAACCTACAGTTTTATAAATTAAGGTCGCTTGAAACACGCAGAAATTGCTCAGACGTAATTTTTCTTTATAAAATTGTCAACAATCTAATTGAGTCATCTTGAACAAGTCACATATCTTTCAATGCTAGTGAATCAGATCTAACTAGTTCTTGAACTCTCGGCTTATTAGATGTAGTCGCATATACAACACTGGTATATACGAAGATACGGACCTATTCAACTTAAGCCCACATCTGTCTAAATACAGAATTTTGTAACATTCTTTTAATTACTGTCTATTAGCTTAGGAAATGTTTAGTTAATATTTTTTTGTATTCCCGACCATGCGTAATGTTTAATATGCGCTATCTGTTGGTTGCACTTTGGGTTTATAAAATAAAATAAAAATAAAATAAATTTATATAAATACAACTTCCTTCTAACAATATGAAATTCAAAAAGTTTATCCGTATTACAACTGCAACCAACATAATATTTGAAACAAAAAACAGAGCACAAATTTTCTTAACGAAAGTAAAAGAAAAATATCGCTAAGCTATTACCACAAAGTAATCGAGTAAAGTAATATAAAATGGGTAGGCCGATTGACAAAAGAGAAACAGCAGCAAAAAATCCACTTATTCATAAAGTTTCTGGGTTAGGCTTTGAAACTTACTTTTTCAACAGGCAAATCGACGACATGCCTGCTTTATAATTTTCTGTTTTTGCCGTAACGATGCTCTTTGTCGAAAAAATTATTCAGCTTTGAATAAAGCACTTCGCTTTGTGACGAGTAAAAGTTATAGCTGAAAGTTGCTTGAGCGAGACATTTTTACTCACTTCCGTGTATTTCTGGCGGTTTATCTGACGGGAAGAGAACAAAATTTATTTTTATACATAAACTATTTTATAGACAAATCGATTAATAATATGTACAAACGAAGGTTTTGCGAAATTTAAATAACTGCGTCAATTATATTGATAATAGAAGTTCAATCTGTTCGTTATTTTCGATAGATTACAAACAAAGATGAACATTTTTTTCTATAAAAAATGAACAGAAACAAAGCACAGCTTCTACCCGTAATTTTTTGTACGATGTCAAACACAAAATGGTAATTAATTGCTATGTCACATTTTTGTGTTTAAATGTAAAGTTTTAGTGTTCGATGGTTTGAGTTATTTTTTATCACATTTAGAGTTTAAGCATGGCGATGATACTCAATATAGAGGCTGTGAAATGTTGCTTGAGCTACGCCCCAAATAATGGGTTCTGTTAATTACTAAGATCTTATCTAAAAGAACAAAAATTGTTGTAATAAAACTCTAACTACTTTATAAAACTGAAGCTTTAAAAAACTGAATCAATACCAAAGATTTTATAGATAAAATAACAGAAATATTTTGGATGAAATATTATAAAATTTAGAGTATTTTGGTCGTCTCTTTTTGCTACTAGATATACAGGGTATTTCGCGACAATAAAACTAAATTAAAAAAAAAAAAAATTGGCCATTTAGGTTTCTGACTATGCTCTACTACCACTTTCTGTGTGCCTGCCTTTAGGAAGGCAAAAATAATAAATTAATGTTGAAATACCAATTCGCTAATTTTTCAAAAAAACTTCCATAGGCTACTGTAATGCTTTTTATAAAACTTCTGGATTCCTCTTGCGTCGATTTTTGCTTAGTCGAAATTGCTGACGTTTCACCAATCATCCTGTTGCCTTCTTGCAGTTTCAGTCAAGCTCTGAAGAAGCCAACAGGATGATTGGCGAAACGTCAGCAATTTCGACTAAGCAAAAATCGACGCAGGAGGAATCCAGAAGTTTTGTAAAAAGTACCAATTCGCTCATAACTTTTGGATTCTGGTCTGCTTAAAAATGGTTATTTGTTCAATTGAAAAACATCTTCAACTCGTGAAAACTAGTTATTATTCTGCTTATGAATTCTCTGAATAAAAGCGCTAAACCAAACTCTTGTTCTGCACATCGCATGTGAGCTGGTGGATAAGCCTAAAAATAGGCTAACGTATTTTTCTACTAAAGTATGTAAAATACCTAATTACCCACCGATCTAGCGTGCGAGAAGCATCACTTTACCACATCAGTTTCGTTTCCTACAGATCAGAGCCACTTCGGACGTTTCCGTAATTTTACCGCACGGATCTGGGAGCAATCGGATTTTTTCGGAAATATTTCCCACGCTTTGAATTTTGACGTTTGTCAATTCTGACGGTCATGTCAGTAATAGTATATTATGCAAGAAGTGCTGTAAACGGCATTTGACTCACGAGTTTATTTGACACGAGCGGAACGCAGCGGAGCGAGTTTTTAATAAACTAATGAGTTAAAAAGTTTACCGAATGTGTTGCATACTATACTTTTTCTACGACCGTAAGATTTTGCGTACATTTTCGCAAAACAACACGAATGCATTCACTGACATGACCGTTAGAATTGACAGACGTCAAAATTCAAAGCGTGGGAAATATCTCCGATCCCATTGCTCCCAAATCCGTGCGGTAAAATTCCGGAAATGTCCGAAGTAGCTCGGATTCATGGGGAACGAAACTGACGTGGTAAAGTGACGCTTCCCGCACGCTAGATCGGTGGGTAATTAGGTATTTTACAGACGGGAGTAGAAAAATGTATTTGTATTGTTTTGCGAAAATGTACCCAAAAACTAACGGTCGTAAAAAAAGGTATAGTATGCAACATGTTCGGTAAACTTTTTAACTCACTCGTTTATTAAACTCGCTCCGCTCGTGTCAAATAATCTCGTGTGTCAAATGCCGTTTACTGCACTTGTTGCATAATATACTATTATATTATCGTTTTTCTGTGACGGGCTTGGAAAAAAAAACTTACTAACAAATATGTCAAAACAAATCGATTTTAGAGAAAATTGCTTTTATTTCGAAAAATTGAACATTTAGTTTTAGAAATGTTTACGTAAATTGAAATGTATTTTGGAAAATTTGACTGTTTTTCCAATTTTGTATAAGGCGCTACATTATTGATTTTTTTAACACCCCGTACATCGCATTTTACAGAAATCTAGTGCCCGGGAAGCTGACAAACTGCAGCCACAATTTCAGCATTCAAAATAGTGAAGTACCAAAACTAACAAAAACTAAACCGCAAGTATTAAAAAATAAATCTAATTCATAAGATTTATGTGATTTATAATTCAAAATATTGATAGAAAATCGAAAAAAATCGGTTACAGTGGAAACTAAAAGCAATTCTTATTTAAAACTGATTTTGGTTGAACTAAAGCTCGGTGTGGTATATATACTGCTGTCAGTAAATCTCAATTGAAAGAAAAAAAAGTCGAATATAAAACTATCTACATGTACTTATTAAAACTATTTTATTATATTACTATTGCAGGAATTAAACAATATTTATTTATATTAATTCCCTCCGCTGTCTCGAACTGTTTTGAACGGTGAAAAGACAGTCAGTGGGCCATTATCTTGCTAATGTCCCATTTCATTGGTTTAAAAAATCAACGTCGATCAGTATCCATCGCTTCAAACCGACATTATTCGTTATTGTAATTTTTCGTTTTATTTAAATAGATGCATGTGCCTTAAGTTACATTGTGCTGATGCTTATCACAGACGCCTTTTTAACTCTTTCGGAATGTATGGCTTTATCTATAGGACCGTCCCACGACTGACGAGTGGCTGAAGCCATAAAGAAAAACAAAGTTGCAGTAAAAATAGAGATTGCAGCACAAACTATAAATATTGTTCTCCATTGAGTCGCATCGTTCTGATAAAAAAAAAACATTAACTATACGCAATGTCGCTCGGCGCGTAATCTTACCTGATCAGCGACAATGAATTGCACTAAAAGAGGCGAAAAAATTGCGATAGTCTGAGACGGGGAGTTGACGATTCCCATTAGAACTCCTGAAAATCGAGGAGACAAGTCCATGTGGTTTATTTGCGAACCACTGGTTTTGATGGCTGAAAATATACTGGTCGACAGCAATATGGCAACTGCTATATACGAATGTGCCCGAGACAGGTACGATATGGCTATCAGACATACCGAATGACCAACGTTGCCTAAAAAGGTCATTTTACGTGAAACGTGAAAATATTATCCATAATAGTACGTGCCGATACCAGCAAACTATATTTACAATTTCTATCAACTAAATATTTACCTACCGATAATTTCGGACATCTTTCGTGCAGTTACTGTAGAGATGTAACCTCTGCCGATGACGTAATCAGCAATAATTCCCCAAACAAAGCAGAGAATCAAATATAAAGCCGGTGCGACGCCATTAACTATCCCATTCTAAAAATATAAGTTAAAATGTTAATGCAAATAGGTATAATGTAAACCTAAAGGAAGTTTTTAAATCTAGTAGTTATTTATGAATACCTACTACAAACAAAAACTATGTTATGCGACAGACTTTAAACCTTTTTTTGAAAGTTGATAAACTCTATCTTGAAACGTTAATTTTCAAATGTACTCTTATTTGTGTACACTTTAAGTCACAAATGATCTCTTAAAGTTTCATAGTGACCTTTCTCCATATCCTTAATAAGGAAAGAGGAAAAACACTGATGCACAGTCGGGTCAAGAATAAATGACGAGTACCAGTAAATTATGGAGAAGTCTAGGAAAAACTGCCTTTTCCTATACCTTTTCAAAAAATGATGCAGAGAAGAATGTTACAACTGAGCAAAACATACGACTTCTTTATCTGCTTTGAGGGCATATTTGCTAATGGTCTAGCTTAGCTCTATAGCAATTTATGCACCACTTACAGAAGATGATATCAGCAGATTAGAGATCCATTTCACATTCACATTTCACATTCAAGTCAAATGTTCAAAATGTAATAAAATCACAAATTTTATGCATAAAACATTTTCTAATGTATATTTATTGTAAAAGAAGAAATTGCACTTATATATAAGGAAATTGATAACTATGTTAACAAAATTACTAGTCGCTATGATTATCAACCAATTACGAGATTCTCTTCAATGTCGTTATTACAGATTTTGACTATACTATAGTAATATAAAGCGTTTGTGAGCAAAAAAAATGAATTTAAATATTCCTTACCATTTTCAGATCAAGGTTCATAATTTTATCCAAATAGGTTGGCAATTCCGTTATGGACATTGCCGACACCCACGAATTGCCAATGGTTGCTAAAAAAATAGCCCAAACAGGTCTTGACGAGAATATTTCTTTCCAAGGGGTAGCTATTACCTACGATTAAGTACAATAAACTAATTAATAAAACCATAAAAGTAAGTCATCAAAGTATTTGGTACAAGTTCAATTTAGTGAGAGTTTCGATTTTTACTCACTTCTTTTTCCTTATTTTGTCCCAGTGAGTTTTCTAAATACGTTTTTTCTTCTTCAGATATATAAGGATGAGATCTGGGACTATCTTGACCTAAACTCCACCAAAGTACACACCAGCCGATTCCCGTACTCCCCAAAATGTAAAAAGATCCAGGCCAACCCATCGATGATGATGATATGTACCCTGTTGCAACGGATGCAAAAATTTGACCCAACGCAGTACCTAAAAGAAACGTGTGTTACCCATCAACACGACGACGTATAAAAATATCGTTTTTAAATTACATTCATCAATTATTTAACTTCTCAGTTTTAGAAGGCTACAAATTCATTTAAAACTTTAAAATACCAAAGTTTGTGTTTTAGGATCCTAAAGCAAAAAAAAAATGTCGTCATCAATATCCGAAGATAAGTACACAAGGTGTTTCAAGACAATTCCAAAAATTTTAATTGGTTGATTTCATGCTACAAATATGGAGATAGAAGATTTTATTTTTTTTTTATTTTTAAAACGGAAAAAGATAGAACGACATTTACTGCCTATCTGCACTGCCTGCATATTATCTAACTTTTTTAGAGTGTGTAATTTGGTTTGGTCATTCTTCTTAACAAGATTTAAAGAATAATTTACGTAATGGCATGGAAAAAATAATTTGTTGTTTCGACCTGCTTTAATTGTTAAGAGGCGATAAGTTTCATGGACACAAACATAAAAGACAAAATGTATCTTTAAAAAAAGAAGAAGAATTATAAGCGTTGTTTAATTCACTCCTACATATTCGAAAAACGTGGTTAAAGATGCACAAAGTGCATTATTCGAATAATGATACTTCCATAAAATTTTAATCAGGGAATCACTTATGAATTTTTGACATTTGACATACCTTGCATAGTAGGAAGTACACAGTTTGGGCAAGAAAAAACTAAAAAACAAATTCATTTTTTAAAACTTATTTAAACGGAACTCCCTTAATTTAGAGTATTTTGGTCAAATTTGAAGCTTTCTGTGCATATTGCAATTTCCGACATCTTGTAGGTGTCATTTTAGTAATTGTTTATATTGGACGTTTTGACTGAGTATCGCCAAGGCCATAAACAACTCAAGTTGCAGCCACCTCGTCTTATAATGTCTGCACTATTTTGCGTGCAATATTTGCAGCAGCCTGAGTTATCGGAAAACGATTAGATCAAACGATACTTTATCAGCTACGTAAACAAAAAACAAATATTCATGTCTACCACTCTATTGTACTCATGCACATCGTTTACTTGAGATAGGCAACACACTCTTGGAAAAAAATTCTTATTATTTACTTTTGGTTCCAGGAATTTGTCTCAGATAAAAGATCAAATTGTCTTCTCCATTTTTTTTTTCATAGTTGCTTCGTAACCTGTATTATCGGCATTAAGCAGGGCCTCTATATCTCTAGTAGAACTGTATGAATAAAACACTGGCTGCAAAGACGGTAACAATTTTCTAGACAAATAAGATCTTCTCCGCATGCAACTCAATTCAACACACTAATCTGCACTTAGGGTCATTTCCTTCTAAACATCCACACACGTGACCCCCTAAAACGTTTAAATTCGCGCGATAGCCATAACAGTTTCTAAATTGGAAGGTGTCAGGTATGTTCAATGGACAGTTTGAGATGACTAAATGGTGTGAAACCTGTTTCTGATACGTATCAACTAATTATTGTAACAGTATTTTACACCCTGTGCCTAAGATACAGCGTTAGGGTAAGCATTTTAGAACCCATGCTTCAATGTTGGAGCCGTATATTAGTAAATCACCCTGTATAGTAGCAATATGGTTAAAATCCAACGAAAGAACCCTCAAGGCCTTAATTTGAGCAAAAACCGGATAACAATGACAATTTCACATAAAACAAAAGAGTTTAAAGTCACGGGAAAGTATGTAAAAAGTGAAACTCACCTGAGTAAACAAATGTCGACAACTGCGTTCTTTCTTCCGCAGGTGCCCATCTTCCTAAAATATTGTGGGCGGAAGGAAACAAAAAGCCTTGGGACAACCCTTGTCCAATTCTGCAAATCATGACACCAACAGATCCGAGGTATTCAGCCCCAGTAGGGATCAGCATAAATATCACGCTGTTTATGAAGAATGCCGTTAGGAGGATGTACTTTATCCCATAAAGTCGGCCCAGGTAGCCAGCAAGAACTTGTAACCAAATGTATCCCCAAAAGAACGATGACAGGATCACGCTTGTATTATCCCAGTCGTAGAACTACAATTGTTGTCATGAGTAAAAAAGTTTCAATTAAAAATGAAACAATTAAGTCTCTGCTTAAAATGTGTACTTATAAAGTCGTACATTTTGTTAGACTAATTAACAATATTACAGAAGAAAAAATATTTTCAAAATTGCCATTTTTAACCAGCTTCTTGCGGATAAAATTGACAATATATACTTTTCTTAAACATCCAAATAAATAAAAATTAACAAACCCATTAACTGAATAATTTTGGAAATAAATAAGAACTAAAAGTTCAGATTTCCACGAAATTTGATAAAGACACGGTGTTGTCGAAACAATTGTCATGTCGTAATATATAATTTCGTGGAAATCTGAACTTTTAGTTCTTATTTGTTTTGATAAATGGATTTTCATCAAGTAAAAGCCACCTCAGTTCAATTTTTGAATAATTTTGGGTTTTAGATTTAATTTTTGATATGCTTTTTGAAACAGGCTTAATATACATACGGGTATATCTGGATTAGATGATACGTCGGTAGTCATTGCAACAATAGCAACAGATAGGCTACTCCGCATTGCATATCCTATCGTCAGGAAAAGAAAGGCCAAAATAATTTGAACGTGTCTGACTCCAAAAGTCGGTACTGGAAATTGTGTCGCTAAATTACTACAATATTTGAATTTATTGGTACTTACCATTCTTGTTTAAGTTGGTGTAATATTCAGTTTTTTCACTCTTAACATTAGAGCTTGCTCCGTCACGTTCCATCAGATGTCAACATTTATTGGCCAACGATAATGTAATGGTTTACTTGGTTCGATGTTTGATCGCTTTATAAATTTTTCGATTAATCTGTAAATAATTACGCAAAAAACGTCTCGAGAATGTGTTTTAAGTAGTTTATTTGTTTGAAGTGTATGATTCTCATTCAAATGTACTGGATCACAACTGCTGTACAGATTTGCATTTAAAGTGTGGAATCGCTTGATATAAGTGATACAAAAATTCAAGGAAATATCGCATAATTATCTAAAAAGATAAAGAAGGGAACTGTTGATATGGTTTCTTTACGCGTCGTCGGATTGACTTTCAAAATTAAATATTGTCTTGCTTTTGAAAGGCTCGTATTAACACCAGCTCTGCAAAACCCTTAAATAAATGAACCAACACTTGAATCGCTCGACACATTTTTTTGTAAATATTGATTGATAAATCGATAAAACTCTCAGAGAACAAGACAAGCGACTTAAATATTAATTTAAACATTGAACTGACGTGGCTTTTACTTGATGAAAATCCATTTATCAAAATAAATAAGAACTAAAAGTTCAGATCTTCAAGAAATTATATATTTTGACATGACAATTGTTTCGACAAGACCGCGTCTTTATCAAATGTAATATTTACAAAAACTACCTGGTACTATACCGAAAAATAACCATAAAACCTTAAATAATGTTTTTGTGAGAATTTAAGTTGAATAAAGGAGAGGCATTTAAATCTAATTGATCGTTAAGCAATACATTCGAATGTCTCATTTTGTTAATCTCCATGGCTTCCGATAAATTTAATTTTCTACTTTTTGTGGCTGTACGTAAAATATCAAAATTGTCGTCAAAAATGTGTTTTTCTGTGTTTAAGGGTGTAGCATAATTAGAATCTTGACTATTGTTTTTAAAACGCACTTTTATGTTCGTTAATGCGTTTCTTGAAGGATCTACCTGTTTGTCCAGTATAAATTTTAGGATAAGATCCGCATTTCAACCTGTAGACACCTGATTTTTCATATTTTGGACATTTCGTTTTATTGTTTTTTAAAAAAATGTTATGTTAGTAATTGTTTTAAATTGTTCATGTTCTGTATTAGGTTTCAGATAAATAGAGTTTACTGTTGTCTGGATTTGTTTTTTATTTATAATATTATCTATAATGGGCGGATTCTAGAAGTTGTTCAGTGCAATTTGTTTAATTATATTAAGTTCTTTGTTGTAATTTTCTGTTGAGAGTGGCGTATTAAGAAGTCTGTGTATAAAAGAATGAAATGCAGCCATTTTGTATGTATAGGGATGATTTGAGCTGTTATGTATGACTGTGTCCGCGTGTGAAGGTTTATGATAAATTTTATATGATTATGTAGTGATGTAGTATGATATTTTCCAAATTATCCATAAAAATCTCGGCTAACAAAGAACTAATCAAACTTTCCTGAGAGATGTAAATCTGTCCATTAAATTCAAAATAATTTTGGTCTAAAACTATTCAATCGCTTTGAAGCGCCATGCAGTGAACTATGAATATGTTATGGTTATGGTGTGATAGAGGAAAGCTCCAATTGAATTTAAAGATTAAAGACTCATTTTACCACTGAGTAATTGGATTTTCTGTAGAGTGCTGTAAATAAAATTAAATAATTAAGAATATAAATATCAGTCCATGCCTTGAAGTGGAATCAGCAACCAATCATTATTTTGAAGGAAACAAGGTTATGTTCACACTTGTATCCAGAGAAACAAACATTTTTGAAGTTAGTTTAAAGTGATCAATAGGAATTAAAAAAAAATCGGCTTATTATCGGTTATATTATATATGGAAAGTATTGTACAGACTTTTCAAAAGCACATTCTGCAGATACACACCAGAACAAAAACTGTCTGACAGAACATAACACCGTCAGTCTCCTTTGCATGCTTGAACATATTATAGGCCCGTATGAGGACAATGGGGCGGCAGTCGTACTTTGGAACAGAGTCCTCTGTTGGAATATCAAGCGGACAATGAAACTGAAAAACGAATTTAAATGAATAAATCGGACAAATCTAACAGTGTTACCCAAGTAACTTTCTGACAAGGTCGTTTCTTAAAGATGCTTAAATTTTGTTAACTCCATTGACTCAGATTCTTTTTTCTTCAAAGAAAATTCTACAGACTACTGTAATACTATTTACAAATCTTCTGGATTCCTCCTGCGTCGGGTGTTGATGAATCGAACTTGCTGAAGTTTCGCCGACCATCCTGTTGGTTTCTTCGGAGATTAACAGTTTCAGAAGATTTGTAAACACACTCAATATTTTACACACGTTTCCGTAGATAAAGTTAATTGAATCAGAACAAAAAAAGTACAGTGGACGGCTAAAATATCGAACGAATTCATTTATAAATCAGGTATTATATTTCATAATTCTTTTTGGGCGTTAACATGGTGGGTCAGAAAGTATATATCGATACCAAGTGAGTAAAATTGAGAGAAAACTTATAGAAACTGGGCATTTCAAGGAAAGCTGAGAGAGTAAGATTTAAATCATTTAAGAAATTGCAAATATGAGGTTCCAATAAGATTTTGATCAAAGAAATGAGGTCCAATAAATTTGTTAATCGAAATCGCTGCCCAAACATATATTTTTGTGGATGTTACGCGCGATTTTCTCTCATCGATCGGAAATTATTTGTACTCCACTACCTAAAATTTTCTTTGTTATTTATTTCGTTTAACAAAACGTGGCTTCTTCACTAAACCGTTTCTAGCGATGAAAAATGGATTAAGTTGTACATTTTTATCATAGATTCACAAAACTATACTGTCTACTGTCGGAAACATCTTCGTTCTGCTCCTGTAATTTTCTACGGATGACACTTTTCTTCTTTTTATACATGCTGTTCGTTAATAAGCTTCTAATAAAATGTTAAATCTTAAGTTCTTATTAGACATGCCCTATTTTTGTAATTTTTTTCTCAACTTAACTCACTGCGGATCTTTTAATACAATATCCAAAAAAAAAAAATTAGATGGATGGATCACATTTATTTTCTTTACTGACAGAAATGTTAATTGTAAGCATACGAAAATTAATTTAAAAAAATAGTATTCCATTTAAAATTGGTATAGACATCTATTTTATATTGTATGTTCGGTGCAAAGACTGCGCGAGAAAAAATTAAGAGCCTTTTGCTTGAAGTTTAATACCCGATTTTTAAATTAATTTGGTCCATATTTTAGCGGACTTGAATTTATGAAATATAGATCTGTAATAAAAAAAAATTTGGTTATTTCATAAACTGTTGAATCTCAGAAGCTGGTAATTTCACACATTTTTTCACGTTCACTAATTGTGATTTATTAACAACGCTGTTTCAGTTTTCCAGAACAGGAAGAAATTTTTTATAATATTATACGATATAGCCACGAAGCCTCGCCATACTTCAAATTTATTTTAAAATATTTACGGTAATTTGGAAATTGTACCACGTCTGCATTTTATATCAGCATTGAAAGACAACTTTGAGGAACTAATAGCGGCATTTTCCGGACACTGTGTAAATTCATTTCATAAATACTAGTAAAACTTCGAACTTGCTTATTTTCGTGTGTTTTTTTTTTGTAAAAATTGCTTGTATAGGTAATAGTATATTATGCAACAAGTGCGGTAAACGGCATTTGACTCACGAGTTTATTTGACACGAGCGGAGCGAGTGTTTAATAAACCAGTGACTTAAAAAGTTTACCGAACGTGTTACACACTATACTTTTTCTACGACCGTTAGTTTTTGGGTACATTTTCGCAAAACAAACGTCAAAATTCAAAGCGTGGGTAATATCTCCGAAAACATCCGATTGCTGCCAAATTCGTGCGGTAAAATCCCGGAAATGTCCGAAGTGGCTCGGAAACGAAACTGACGTGGTAAAGGGACGCTTCCCGCACGCTAGATCGGCGTGTAAATAGGTATTTTACAGACTGGAGTAGAAAAAATTATTGTTGCATAGGTTTTGTAAAAATAGTTTATGTAGGCGAAACCAGACCCTCCTACGAGTCAACACGGTCTAAAAGACATAAACAAGGTTTCGCCCAGGAATCGTCTAGTACTCCTGTCTAATAAATCGTACCCACCTAAATCAAACCATTTATTTCTCATGCAGTTTATTTTTTGTTTGTTGACGAGCAGGTGGAGGTCTTGTTCCTAAAATTGTAAAATATCCCTGAAAAACTGATTATTTGGACTGATGAATAGGGTTCAAGCCACAACAGGTTTTTAAACTTGTTTTGGAGAAGTCAGGTGCTGTGTACAATAAATTTTTCGTTACTAATTATTAACTTTAAACCAATGAGACCCCACATCTGACACCAATTGAAAAAATCACCGAAGATAGCGAAAAAGCGGACATTTTGATTGTTGTTTAATAGACTTGCGTTGCCCCTTATTCTTGTTCTTTCTTTACAGGTTATTGGATAGGGAGAAGATGGCAGAAGAAGTATTAAAATATTTGCTGTCTAACGGTAAAGGAAAATATTCAATTATTGATATGTATTTGTAAAATTCAAACTCATTCTTTTGATAATAATAAATATTGTTTGTTGATCAGAATAAACTGAGTATTTAACTGTCCTCTTATCGACCAGTCACATTCATCCGATGATGGGTTGATCAAAATAGAGTTGATTTAATTTATTCTTTGTCACTATATTTTAATTTTTAACTTTATTTATGAATTATACTTTGATGACATTATTAGTAAAATATAAGCTACCTTAAATATCGCAAAGCCGCCAGAATAACTAGCTGAGCTATTTTAAGCTAAATGTGTAATAAATATTAAATTATTCTCTATTAAATTCCTTCTTAGGTTCGTGTTATCGTCGTTAGGTGCATTCTGAGCATCGCACATAATGTACATATAACGCGCGCTCCACAAACACCTCCGTTTATTCAGGAATTCCTCTGGAATGTCCGATAATCCGCGCCGCTGACCCGACTTACGTAATCGGCATTCCTCAGAACAGAAACGG